TGGAATTTTACACAGGGTATTTAGTTGTTCGAACATTTATTTGCAATAAATAAAAAAATAAATATTCGAAATTAATAATTGATATTCGAATATCGAAATTACTCACTCGTAGAATATTCATTTACTGTTTTGGTAAATTTCTTTTTCTTTCTATTTTATTTTTATTTTTATCTTTATTTTTTGTTATTTTAGGAATATTCTCAAAATATATTTATGTTTTGTAAAAATCTCTTTATTTATAAAAATTGCAAACTAAAAATTTAATAAATTTGAAAATAAATTTTTTATTTAAAAAATCATTATACATATATAAAAATTAGATATCGATATTCGAAATCAATTTCGGTGTTTAAAAAACTTTCAAATATTTGAATTTCAATTTGATTTCATTTAATTTGTTATTTCTTATGGTAGGTAAACAAGAAGCTAAAGAACGTCCGAATTTAACGAAAAAAATAAATTATTGTTTAGATCCATAAGAATGGCTGTAACCTCAATTTCGACATAAACATTTTGTTGTCGGTTAGAAATCTCCCCTGCTTCCGAATATACCATATGTTGAAGGGTTTACTAATTGGTTTGTTATAGTTTAGGGTTTTGTCACCCTGGAACACGACAAATAAACATAATCAATAATCATAAATAAAAAAAAATCATCTGAATTTCATCTCCATTCCGTGATCTCCGTAGAATTAAGTTTTTTAAGATATGCATCTGAACCCAAAATTGAACAATCAAATTATTTCCAAAAACGTACTCTCCGACAGATCTTTATTATCTTTACTATTATATATGAATAATGGAATTACTAATGAGGGATGCCGAATCTCATTATTTTAACGAATATATTTTTCTGTATCAGTTATCTTACCATTTATAAATGAACAATGAAATGATGATTATTATAAAAAAAATATGGGACCTTCGTAATAGAAAGGGGGAACTGCCGGGAAAAATAAATGAGTTAATGGAACATATCTCGACCAAAAAAATCATCATGACATATAAAACTAAAATTCGAAATTTCCCGGCAGATCTATTAAAAGACCCGTGTGAGCCAAAAATCATTACAACAGTATTGCCTTTAGCTATTATTAAGACTATTATAAATGAATAATGACATTATGTATCAAGATCTAGTTTTTCTCTTGGCATATTATTACTTTGCCAAAAATTTGTGTGTATGCAATAACTTTTTATGAAAACATTGAACGCATTGTTTCAGCGGTTATGGATGCCGTCTCTATTCTTTTGTATAAGAATAATGGTATTATTAAGATCGAAGTTTCTTTAAAGCATAGCAAATCAAATTTACTTCATGAATAAAAGTTCGACATTGTTTTGATGACTATTATATATGAACAATGATATCTTTAAAATTTTCTTATAAATACAAACCAAATTATGTCTTTGAACAATAAATAAGTTTCTAAAATTCAAAGCAAATATGTCGCAATACAGAAAAGATTTACCTGAAAGAAAGATCATAAATCGTGCTTACGGTATTGGTATGAACATAAACAGCATCATTGGATCGGGAATTGTCACTGCACCAGGAATCATTTGGAATTCAGTAAAATCTCCAGGAATCGTATTATTATTATGGTTATTAGGTGGACTCGTAAGTATGGCGGGGTCCTTATCTTATGTTGAACTTGGTGTCAAACATAAGATTAGTGGAGGAGAAACAAAATATTTACAGACCGCTTATCCAAAACCGAAATACTTTATAAGTTATCTATTCAGCTTTATGTACATTTTGTAAGTTTAATGTTACATCGAAGTTTATTTATAATTAGTTAAATGATTAACGTTAATAATCCGTTCTTTTAATTTATCAAGTGCGATTAGGCCAGGAATTACAAGTGCAGTTTTACAATCTGCTGCGCAATATTTTTGGTATACTATTAATGGTAAACAATTTGATATTGAGCCAAATAAAAACGGATTTCATCTCCCATTCTCTCCATTTTGGTATGAATAAATATATTTCCAATAAATTAAAACTTAATTTTAAAATTTAATCTAAAAAAAAATATTTTATCTTAGGGCTATAAAATTCATAGCGATCGCAATGTTATTCTTTATAACAGCATATCATATGATTAATAACAGAATGGCTAATATTATAAACCAGTCACTGGCGGTTATAAAATTAATCACATATTCAATCATCGCCATAGCCGGAATTTGTAGATTATTTTTGGATTGGGAAACAAGTCGACTTCACTGGCAAAAGCCATTAGATGGAAATACAGACTTTACGGCTTATACTTCTTCTATTTTACTGGTAAATATGCATTCATTTTGAAGGAAGTTATAAATATTTGATGAAATTTAATCATGATTTTCATTTGTAGATCATGTTCAGCTATGAAGGATGGAATAATTTGAATTGTAAGTCATTGAAATTAAACATTCTTTATTAATAATTTCTTGTATGTTAATAACGAGTTAATTTTTTTGTAGACTCACTGAATGAATTTAAAAATGTTGAACAGGAGCTCCTTTTCAGCAATAGTATCAGCGTTGTCATTGTTACATTATTGTGTACGTATATTAGGTTGGAAAGGTCTTAGCCCTCATGTTATCATTCTAAAAACCTTTTTCAATTATAGATCTTCTTGTAAATATTGCATTTATTTCTGTTGTACCCAAAGAAGATATACTTAATAATGGAAAGACGGATCAAATTATAGCCGCAACCTTTTTTAATAAATTATTTGGTGGAAATGAAGTAATAGTTAGAATTTTCACATTTCTAATTGTGCTTTCTGTAATTGGCACTGCTGCTTCAAATGTTTGGAGGTGAGTAATTAGTTCCCATGTAATTTTACTTGTTAATTTAAATATAACATCTTTTTACTATATATATATTTTTAATAGTGGATCAAGGGTTATCGTTGCAACAGCAAGATCAGGCTTTTTTTTGAAATATTCGCACCTTTTAAGAAAATGGCATCAAGGTCGCTACACACCGGTTAATGCTTTATTAGCACAATTCATTTGGTGTTCATTAATTATATTGTTTGTTGGCAGTAGTTTTACTATTACCAATTTTGAATTATTTTCGTCTTTCTCAATGTATAGTTATTGGATATTTTACTTTGCTACTGGAATAGGGTTATTGGTAATTAGAAAGTATAAATTACTTGAAAGTGAAAATGGATTATATAAAGTTCGATTACCTATTGCTGGAATTTTTATATTGGCAGGTTTATATATACTGATATTTTCCTTTGTTATTAACGTTCAATGTCCAAATATTTTACCGCCTGCTTCAGACGAATGTAGTAAATATTTAAAAGAACAAAGAGTTCATAAAATGTCACCATTCTTTATTAGTTATGGATTTCTTTTTATTGCTTTAATATTTTGGTATTATTATTGGTGGAAAACTACGAAAGATGAAATTAATGAAAAGAATGAAACGAATGAAACAAGAAGCTGGGAGATGATGGGAGAATTTGAGAACAAGAATGATGAAGAAGCTGTCAAAGAAAAAGAAATTAAAGAGTCGAAAGAAATTTATGGAGATGTTGAGAAAATAAATGATGAAGAATCTATAATAGGTGAAGCTAAGGTGCCGAAAGGAAAGCAGAAGAAAAAGGATAAAATGTTTACAAATGATAAAAACCCTGGGACTACATCTGAATATTATGCTGAACCATCTGGAAATAATTTTACGGATCAATAATAATAATAGTACGGTTAAAATCATTAAGGTTCTATAGATGTAACATATACTTTTTATCAATCAAAAGTTTATTTTTAGAAATTTTATTATAAAATATTCCTATTTGTAAATTTTTTTTTTTTTTTTTTAATGAAAGAAAGATTCAATGCATTCGAATTTTAAAAATTAAGTCCCAAATAAATTTTCTCATCTTTTTATATAATGTATTATAAATATTTATGCAATATTGTATTTTCTTGTTTTCTAAAATTAACTTCTACATAAAAGAACTTGCATATACAATTTCACGTTTGAATTTTTTTCTCAGTCACGTGACTTAGAAAAAAACAAAGATAATTTATACAGTTATTGAATATAAATAAAACTGTATCAACGCTTTGAAAATGTAAATGTAATACAGTTCAAAAAGAGCGACTCAGAGTTGTTCTGGAACCAAATCTAAATGCTGCTTACCCAATTTTACCGGCTCAAAATCGATATTAGTAAAAAAAAAAAAAATTTTTTAACATGCTCTATTTAACTTGACGCTCTTAGTCTTAATTTACTTTAGGAGAACCGTAGAAGAACCAAAATGGAACAGAGAGAACCGTCCCATCCCTAGGAGTGACTATATGGGAGGTGACTATCGACTGTATTCGGATTATATTTGGCTACCAATGAAAGTTTATTGCTATATAAAGAATTCTTTGTTAATTATTATTATTTTTTATTAATCAAAAAACAAATACCTTTAAGAACTATGGATATATTGTATATAATAGGTAATACGATCTGATAAACAGCGTCTATTAAAGAGATGTCGAGAAAAGACAAGATTCAAAATCGAAAAAAAAAAAAATCACCAAAAAAAAATTTAATAATACATGTAGATTAATTTCTAAACGAAATGATTTTCTTTAAATATATCAAAATTCAAAATTGAAAATTGAGCTTTTTTGTCGCCAGGAAGTTAGAACCAAAGTTTCAAATTTATTTATTTGTATAATTAATGATAAACTTTGTAAATTAAACCAATAAAATAAGGTTACACATTTATTTTATTTATTTATTTTATTTTTAACGATCCTGATGAATTATATTCATCCGTAATGTCAACATATTTTATTTGTTTTTAACAAAACATTTTGTGATTTGTAATTTAAAATCAACGAATATGTATTCTTTCGTAACTTGTTATTTTGTTGTAAAATCCTTACTATTTTGTATAAACTATTATTAAAAAGAAGAATGTCTTTAATAAATCGATTTCTTTCTTAATATAACATTTGCTTGATGAGCCAAAGTCTTTGAAACTTAAAATAATATGTTTAAATACAAAAAAGTAGACTCAACTGAAGTAAAGATTATAAGTCTTGCTTATGGCATTGGCATTAACGTTAACAGCATAATTGGATCGGGAATTGTTACTGCACCAGGAATTATTTGGAATTCAGTAAAGTCTCCAGGAATCGTATTATTATTATGGTTTATAGGTGGACTCGTTAGTATGGCGGTTCCTTATCATATGTCGAGCTTGGCGTTAAACATAAGATAAGCGGAGGAGAAATAAAGTACTTACAAACTGCTTATCCAGAAACAAAAAAATGTATAAGTTACCTTTTTAGTTTCATGTACATTTTGTAAGTTTAATATTAAAAATTAAAGTCATCAGATTATAATTCGTTTATTGGTAATAATTATCTGTTCTTTATTTTTTTATTCTAATTTATTTAGTGCGATTAGGCCAGGAATTACAAGTGCAGTTTTACAGTCTGCGGTGCAATATTTTTGGTATACTATTAGTGAACATCAATTTGATATGGAGCCAAATAAAAACGGATTTCATCTTTCATTCTCTCCGTTTTGGTATGATTAACTATATTCAACAAATTTAATAGAACATTTAACTTAATTTTAACGATTTAAAATTTGTTTTTATCTTAGGGCTATAAAATTCATAGCGATCGCGATTTTATTCTTTATAACAGCATATCATATGATTAATAACAGACTGGCTAATGTTATAAACCAATCACTGGCGGTTATAAAATTAATCACATATTCAATCATCGCCATAGTTGGAATTTGTAGATTATTTTTGGATTGGGAAACAAGTCGACTCCACTGGCAAAAGCCATTAGAAAGAAATACAGATTTTACAGCTTATACTTCTTCAATGTTACTGGTAAATATCATTTATTTTTGAAAGAAGTTAAAATACATGATGAAATGTATTAAAAGGGTATCGTTCATTTTTAGATTATGTTTAGCTATGAAGGATGGAATAATTTAAATTGTAAGTCATTGAAATTAATCATTATTTATTAATAATTACCTAGTAACAAGTTAAATGTTATTTTTGTAGACTCGTTGAATGAGTTTAAGAATGTGGAAAAGGAACTTTTCTACAGCAATAGTATCAGCGTTGTAATTGTGTATGTATATCAAGTTGGTTAAAATTAGTCTCCATTAAAAATAAAAAAAAAAATTTTAAATTATAGACCTTCTTGTAAATATTGCATTTATATCGGTCGTACCGTTACAAGATTCCTTAAATGACGAAAGATTGGATCAAACTATAGCTACAACTTTCTTTAATAAATTATTTGATGAAAATGAGACGATAGTTAGAATTTTTACTTTTCTAATCGTACTTTCTGTGATTGGCACTGCTGCATCAAATGTGTGGAGGTAAGTAATTGGGTTGTAATTTAACTTTTAGCAATTAAAATATTGTATTGTAATTATTTTTTTTTTTTTATTTTAATAGTGGATCAAGATTAATCGTTACAACGGCAAGATCAAATTTTTTTCCGATTTATTCAGAACAATTAAAAATTTGGCATGAATATTTTCATACACCAATTCATTTGGAATTCATTTATTATATTGATCGTCGGTAGTAGTTTTACTATTACCAATTTTGATTTATTTTCATCATTTTCAATGTATAGTTATTGGATTTTTTATTTGGCCACCGGAATAGGATTATTGATAATTCGAACTAGAGAGTACAAAAAATTACAGAATAAACAAAGATATGATAGTGATAAAGAAAAGATTATAAGTAAAGTTTGGAACAATAAGGCTGTCGATAAAAAGAAAGAAAAATTATATAAAGTTCCATTATTTATAACTATAATTTTTATTTTGTCAGGATTCTATATTCTGATATTTTCTTTTGTTATTCACGTTAAATGCCCTGAATCTATAGCACCTGAATCAATTGAATGTAGTAAATATTTAACAACATAAAGAGTTCAACAAATGGCACCATTTCTTATTAGTTACCGGATCTCTCTTTATTGCTTTAATATTTTGGTATCATTTTTGGTGGAAAGCTACGAAAGATGAAATTAATGGAACAATATGAAATATATAATGTAAGGAAATCGGATGGCAATAAAATTTTATAAATGATTCTTGAATCTTGTAATATTATTATTATTTTATATATATTAATTATAATTAACTTTTTATTTTCAAGAAAAATTTACAACTTGTATATAATAAAAAAAAGAAAGAAATGTATTTATATATACATAACTCTTCTAGAAAATTCACTAGATAAATCTAAATGCACGAAAATAAAAAAAAAAAGGAATAATGTACCAACGTTCAACATTATCGGGAAATTTTTTTTTTTTTTTTATAAAAAATTATTGAAAACCTACCTAGATGTATAATGGTGTTTATATTCAATGAATAAATATCATAATATATGTTGAAAGAAATTTTCAAGCTTTTGTTGAGTGTATATTTTATATTTTGAATTACTTTATCTTGTTTAATGCTAAAGAAGTTTCAATAATAACCTTAGAATTTGAGAAATAGATTATGACCACATTCAAAAATAATAAAGATTATTGAACCCTTAACATGTTGATTGAATTCATTCATTGACGTGAAGGGAGGAGGTATAGAGCACATTTACTTTAAACTATTTCAAAAAAATAAACCATTCTTACTTTACTGTCTGATAAAAATTAATTTCTTGTACATTGGAAATTGCAAAAAAGTTCATTAAAATTGTTTAGGCTCTGTGTCAGATGATTCAAAATATAAATGTATCTCGGTTGCTGCTTTTCAATGGGTCTCATAAAAGAAAGTGTTGTCGCTTTAGACAATATGTATTTTCCATCAAATTCTTTAGACCGATTGATGATCATAAAAATTAAACTAGGAACGAACATAGAATTAATTTTGGAACAGACCGGTCCAAGAACTGCATCTTCAACAGCTACCTATAATCATTCAGAAACAATCTTTCCTCTAAAAATTAAGTCGAAGTCATGAATAGAACCTAATGAAGTAGGCAGATCTTGTATTGAATTTATTTTTGCTTCACCATGCGTGTCACCAAAAATGCAATTGCTACAAGTAAAAAATTTCGCTATCAAGTAATTCAAAATTGTAATCGTTATTAAAGCAAAAAAATTTTGCTAGTTTTAAAATAAAATTACCCTTATTTAACTATGTGCGCACACGCAAAAAAATTTAAGTTCAATAATAAGTAATTGAGGACGAAGGATCTACAAAAAAAAAAAAAAATAAAGCCTAAACCGAAAACCGCGGGAACAAACCGAAAAAATGACAATCATATAATTTAAGGAAATTAAAAAAAAGTATTCGTTAAAAATTTTTTTTGCATGACCTACAGTTAAATTATTTACAAATTATGTTAGAAAAAAGAGACTTATACAACAATATATGAAAATAATTAAAATAATTAGGAATGTTAAGCGTCCCTTTGCCAGTTCTAGAGAAGATTTTTATCTTACTGACATTATATTTTGCTTTCTATAAATGGAATTTATTTAAAATAAATAATAACTTATTCGGAATTCCAGTATCTTTATTGTTGAAATTTAGGACTTCACGATCCGATGAGGGTTGTTGAAAAATTTATTCTTATAACAATTTTTAACAAGAATTACTTATTAATAGATAAGAGATTAGACTTTTCTATAACGAGAAATTTCTAAATTTGTTCAAAAACATTTGGGACCGTTAACATCATAATAAAATAATTTTTATTGATATTTATAATTTAATCTTGGTCCTTCATTATTCCATTTCTCAATTTCTATCTTCGTTTCCTGTGCGATTTCCTAGGTTCTTCTCCACCAATAATACCAAGATATTAAAGCAATAAAAAGAGATCCGTAACTAATAAGTAATGGTGCCATATGTTGAACTCTTTGTTCTTTTAAATATTTACTACATTCGTCTGAAGCAGGCGGTAAAATATTTGGACATTGAACGTTAATAACAAAGGAAAATATAAGTATATATAAACCTGCTAATATAAAAATTCCAGCAATAGGTAATGGAACTTTATATAATCCATTTTTATTTCCGTCGCAATTATTTACTTGATCATGTAAATTGTCCCTTCCGTCGCTATAAATTGAATTATTTTCTTGACCATTTCTTAATTTTCGTTCTCTGCGTCGAATTACATATAACCCTATACCAGTAGCAACGTAAAAAATCCATTTACTATACATCGCAAACGATGAAAATAATTCAAAATTGGTAATAGTAAAACTACTGCCAACAAACAATATAATTAATGAGCACCAAATGAATTGTGCTAATAAAGCATTAACCGGTGTGTAGCGATCTTGATGCCATTCTCTTAAAAGGTGCGAATATTTCAAAAAAAAGCCTGATCTTGCTGTTGCAACGATAACCCTTGATCCACTATTAAATATATATATATATAGTAAAAAGATGTTATATTTAAATTAACAAGTAAAATTACATGGGAACTAATTACTCACCTCCAAACATCTGATGCAGCAGTGCCAATTACAGAAAGCACAATTAGAAATGTGAAAATTCTAACTATTATTTCATTTCCACCAAATAATTTATTAAAAAAGGTTGCGGCTATAATTTGATCCGCTTTTCCATTATTAAGTATATCTTCTTTAGGTACAACGGAAATAAATGCAATATTTACAAGAAGATCTATAATTAAAAAGGTTTTTAGAATGATAACATGAGGGTTAAGACCTTTCCAACCTAATATACGTACACAATAATGTAACAATGACAACGCTGATACTATTGCTGAAAAGAAGCCCCTTTTCAACATTTTTAAATTCATTCAGTGAGTCTACAAAAAAATTAACTCGTTATTAACATACAAGAAATTATTAATAAAGAATGTTTAATTTCAATGACTTACAATTCAAATTATTCCATCCTTCATAGCTGAACATGATCTACAAATGAAAATCATGATAAAATTTCATCAAATATTTATAACTTCCTTAAAAATAAATGCATATTTACCAGTAAAATTGAAGAAGTATAAGCTGTAAAGTCTGTATTTCCATCTAATGGCTTTTGCCAGTGAAGTCGACTTGTTTCCCAATCCAAAAATAATCTAAAAATTCCAACTATGGCAATAGTTGAATATGTGACTAATTTTATAACCGCCAGTGACTGGTTTATAAGATTTGCCATTCTATTATCAATCATATGATATGCTGTTATAACAAACAACATTGCAATCGCGATGAATTTTATAACCCTAAAGTAAATAAAATTTTAATTTCAAATTGACTTTCAATTAGCTAAAATATAATTGTTCATACCAGAACGGAGAAAATGGAAGATTCCATCCATTTTTATCCTGTTCAATGTCAAATTGATGTCCATTAACAGTATACCAAAAATATTGCGCAGCAGATTGTAAAACTGCACTTGTAATTCCTGGCTTAATCGCACTTGATAAATTAAAAGAACGGATTATTAACGTTAATCATTTAACTAATTATAAATAAACTTCGATGTAACATTAAACTTACAAAATGTACATAAAGCTGAATAGATAACTTATAAAGTATTTCGGTTTTGGATAAGCGGTCTGTAAATATTTTGTTTCTCCTCCACTAATCTTATGTTTGACACCAAGTTCAACATAAGATAAGGACCCCGCCATACTTACGAGTCCACCTATAAACCATAATAATAATACTATTCCTGGAGACTTTACTGAGTTCCAAATAATTCCTGGTGCAGTAACGATTCCTGACCCAATGATGCTGTTTATGTTCATGCCAATGCCATAAGCACGATTTATAATCTTTATTTCGGGAAATTGTATATCATGTTTGTAAATATTCATTTTAATTTTTGGAGATTTATAATAAATACTAGAACTATTTTACTTTTTTTTTTAATGAAAAACATTCGTTCGGGTTTTTTATAAATAATTCCATCATTTATATTTAATAGTAAAATCAAGATGCAAATTTGGAATCATTGGCATTCAAAATTTTTTGTTTGTACTTTTTTGGAAAAAATTAAATTTCCAACTTTAAAAAAAAAACTGAGCGTACAGGCAGTGTTGTACATTTTAATGTTTGCAGCTATCCCGGACATGTCCGTGCTCTTCGCTAAACATTTTTGCTGATTATCGAAACAGGTTATTATTGAGGAATTAGCACTTTTTCTCGTGACACCTGTCCCGGACATTGTTCCATGGCAACACTGCTTACTGACGAATTTTCTGTACATGGATTACTTTGACCAACTCTATTTTAAGTATCCGATCTTCATGCCTAAAAGAACAAATAGTGTGCTTAAGCTTGATTGGTTAATTTTCAAAATGATCGGCACATATTAAATTCATATAAAAAAATGATGATCGATCTTTAAATGGATTCGCACCTCAGGGATGAATTCGCAGGTATTGCGATAAAAAATTTTTTAAAGATTACCTTCTGTTCTATAGACTGTTAGGTAAGTGGAGAGTTAAATCGGAACTTAGCTAATAAGGGTTTTATTGCAATTTTTTTATAAAAGTCATTTTATTATAAAAAGAAGGAAATACAAGCAAAATGTCTACCCACCACGAAGATACACCTCTTCCAAGAAAATAGGAAAAAGAAAGGCTCAGTATTGTGTTTTTGAGGGCCGGGATAACGTTATCTGTAATTATAAGTAGCATAGTGCATCCTTTGTATCTGAGAAAATAGATATTTCATGTTTAAGCCACCATTTGAATAATAAATTAATAGTAAAGATGGTCCCATAATTATTTTCAAATTTCAATTGAAATGCAACTTAATTGTGCTATAAGGAAATTTAATTATGTCACAAGTTGCAATTCAATTGCGCTATTTTTTTAAATAAAAGAAAAAAATCTAAAACTAATAAATATTCACATCTAAAGTATATTTTTTATATATCTACAGCTCAAAATGGTATAGAAAGAAAGAAATTTAAGAAGGCTTCAGAATGATTAACTTGATTCTTTGAGCTATCACAAGGAGAGTTTTTTTTTTTTTTTTATAAAGGTATGGTAGATTCGCAAAAACTTTATTGAAAAGACAGTAAAATAATACAAAATCAAATCATAGTAATTACAATAATCTCAGACTAATTAATCTTTAACTAATTAGAAGAAGATCCTACGAAATATCCCCAAAATCAATCTTGATCTAAGCAAAGAATATCATATTATAGGATTAATAAATAAAATACAAAAACAAAAAACAAAAATAAATTTTATGCTATGTTGAAAAGAAATTATTTATGCTTAAGGTAGTTCTATAAAAGAAAATATGATAATTATTTAAATAACTAATTAACTGGAATGGAAAATGTAAAGAGATCAAAGATCTTTTTACTTTTACAAGAATAGTAATTATAGGATAGCTGCAATAGTATTAGTGATGAACTCTTTTGGCCAACCAGTGATAGTGATTATAGGAGACTATAAAAATCTTGAGAAAGGTATTGTAGCTGATCAAAAAGAACTTATTTAATATGATCTATATAAAATTAAATCTAATGACTTTATAAATCATTTTCTAAGACAAATTTTTAACGCTGATAATATATATATAATATTTAATAATTTAATATTAAAATAAATTCTTTTAATAGTAATTTTTATAAAATTTAAAACTAGTATTTTAAATTTACTTTTTATAATATATTAATTTTAAAATTAATTAATAAATATTAAATAAGATTTATATTTAAATTGTAAGATATTCTTAAAATATTAAATAAATTACTATATTATAATAAAATTAAAATTAATTTTAATTAGTAATAATTTTTTATTTAATATTATTAAAATTAATTTTATTTATTTAATTAAAAAAAATAATTATTTAAATACAATTTTGATAAAAAAAACTGATAATTACAAATTGGCAAATATCTCGTCTGGTTTTTATTAAAAACATTCAATATTTTAAAATTAAACCTCCCAAATATATATAATAAAAATATAAAAAGTTTACATTGATTGCCTTTTATTCTTTCCTTATTAACCTTATAAAAATGTTCTGTATAACCAATTTTTTTTCAATGATCATAATATTAACCTTTTTCTCAATATTTCTTTTCATTATTACCTATAAATTCTTAATCAAATTAAGATCTAGAAAAGAAAATAGCCAATTGAGAACTCAAGAATAATGTAATGATCTTAAAGTAAAGTGATTTTAAACTTAGCTCAATACTTAGGATTAGTATCCTATGAAATGTCTACCTATTTCAAAAGATCCAGAATACTTGCTCAAATAATTTTTAGTTATAATTTTTTGATAAAGCTTACCATTCATGTTCTCTATAAACATATGAAATCTGACAATTCTCTTTACACAAAATTCATTTCACATATGGACTTTAAAGGGTGTTTTATTATAATTCATCTTAGTATTATTTCTCTAATTTTGTAATGAATTAGCTTTATATTATGAAATATCTGAAATATTAACTCGTCAAAAAATATGATATTATTCTAACATTCTTTTTGATAAGCTTTTGTCCAAATGATATGACAATTCATAGTATTCTAAATAAGAAAAGGAACTGAATAAGAAATACAAACTTTATACCCAAAGTCTTGAAAGTTTTTTCTAATAGTCTAAGATGCAATATTAAGACCAGGGTATTTTTTTTAGGTTTTTGATTATTTTATTACTTGATGCATATTTATGCAATTTCATAATTCAACTAAGGTAGTAACGCTGAAAAAAAAAACATTTTGGATATTTCAGATAACTTTTTTACTTAAAATCATTTATTTCTTTAAGTTATTTGACCTATCTGTATAATGTTTTTAATGGATCTAGTGGCTTTTTGAAAGTTTGCAACTTTACAAATACCACCTTTCCATAAAGCTTTAATACATTAATAGCGCTCTTTTAGTGAAATTATTATATGATTTTGTAATTGTCAGATTGCAGATATTTATTAAAATATGATATAAACAATTTATTTATATCATAATTTATGTTATTGTTTAGATATTTCTTGTAATTCACTCAGAAATCTAAAAAAAATTGTTAGTTTTTTCTATCAGAACTGTAAAAATTTTATAATAAAAAAAAAACTATATAAAAAATATTTTTTAAAAAAATTAATATTAAATTTACAACTTTGCTATTTATCACTACTGACATTTATTGCTAGTATTATATGATAAATTTTTATATGATTATTTACTTTAATTATTAATAGTTTATAATAGATTTCTAATTTAACTATACATCTCATATTAACTATTTTCTTTATCAACTTCATATTTAGCATATTCATAGATATTATGACCTTTATTTAAATAATAGCTACAAGTTTTAGATGTACTTTCTTTGGATTTTACTATAGAAGATGAACTAATTTCTATTGATAATTTGTAACACTTAAAAGGACATTCTTTCGCCTTATGATATTTTAGATTAAATACTTCTAGAAGATTATCTAAAAGTTATTATCTATTATTATAAATATCTGAATTAGCAAATGATTTTTGTAATATATTCTGTTTTAAACTAGACTGATTAATTCTTAATCTTGTATTATTACAATACTTTATAATAAATTACATCAAAATTCTAATTAATTTTGCTATAATACCTTCCATTATAGTAATTTGAATGCTTATTTTAGCCAATAACATTGTGATTTTATATTAGATTTTTTATTAATATTTTCTTTTAAGTTTGAGTATAAATACTATTAAGCCTAATTTGATTAATATAATGTAAAAATAAAGCTGTAAAATTTGTTTTTTTCTTTAATAATTGTAATATTCATTATTTCTGATAGAATTAATTTAAATCAATGATTATGGATAAATGATAAATAAAATATTATCTTATTTGACTGAATTAAAATCTAATATTGATGTCTATATAATATTTTTTGATTTACATATACATACAAGTACAAAGGAATGTAAAGTTCTTTAAAATAATAACATAATATGATTTTAAAGGCTTTTCTGAATATGATGCAATAAAAGATATTTTCTAAATTTCAGTTATATCATTATAAGATATATTATCTAATGGTTTTTTAAATAAATTTATGATATATCATATAATTATTTAATAATATTATTATAAGTGATATTAGATTCTTTAACCTAATAATATAAAAATATCAAATATAAGTATAATATTTTTATGACTGAAGGTCACGACTCAAATTTGATTTACCATAATTTTATCTGAAAGGTAAAATTATAGAAATCAAATTTAAGTCACGATAAATAATAATCTAATAATTTATCTGATCAATAAAATTAATAAAAATCATTATTCCTTAATATAATAGTGCTTGTTTTATTTATGCTTATTTAAAAGATAATAAAATAGATACTAAGGGGATTGGCGTCCCTAGTTCAGTTGGTAACAACTGAGCTCCTATTGTGGGTTACACTGCGATAGCCACAGGTTCAA